TTTGTGAGGTGCTTTTTTGATATTTAATGGATCGGATTACATTTTTTATTTCTCGCCGATATCCGATCCAGTAATTTGGGTCAGTATCGGACCGATACTGATACGTAATATCGGATCGGTCCAAATCTACCTAGGACCCACCCAATTAGCATCCCAGTCAGATGTCTGAACCTTCTCCACTCACTTCTTCCAAAGCAGTTCTATTATGAGCTCCTCAACCTCTCTCCAAGAGTGAGACCAGGCATTTTCCAAAGAAGGTTATCTCTGCTCCTTGCTCATTTTTCCAGTTGCCTCCCACAGGTCCCACACATAGAGGAGAGCAGGAACATGTAGTCAAAAATGTGCAATGCAATGTATTTCTTATTTTAACAAAATAAACCACACAAAAAACCTACACAGCTAAGAACCTAATAGCAAAGTAACTGGTTTTTTGGCCAAACTGGATGCTGTACTCCAGTTTGTGTGACCCATGTTGAACAGCTGAGCTAAAATAAGCTTTTCGGTTTCCTAAATCTGAGTTTTTAGAAGTGTTACATCACTTTTAACTGTCACACCTACAAATATCAAAGACAGAGGAGCACAGATTTCAGGGAGTCCTGAGGGAAAACAGCCTGCTGAAACACAGTAATTCTCTCGGGACCTCCATGAAAGCGCAGTGCACTCTGGGAGTTGACTATCAGAAGCTGGAATAAGCCCATTCAGGACTATTTTCTACAAGCTACACGCTTACTATATTCTGTATGCGTTCATATTAACATGTAATGTTACCATAACTGCGAATGACATTCAACTTTCCCATCCATGGGTTTCTAACGATATCTACAGTCTTACAATAATGCAGGCCTTTAAAAAAACATATTTAACCCTCTGCAGAGGTTATGAGACGTAAACATTGTGCACTTACGTCTCAGGTGGGATCTTCATCTGAGCCTCAGCTGTGATCAAAAGGCAAAAAATTCCCATTAGCCTCAAGAGGGTCCTCATTCCCAAAACATTAATGCTGTCCATCCTGTATCCCTGAAATCCGGACATGGAGCTCCTTTAAAGAGACTTTAAAGGAAGATTCTCAAACT